GGCCCGACGCCGGCGCGGGGGGAGGCGCGGAGGGGGCGCGGAGTGGGCGCCGCGCGACTCCCCCCCTTCCCCGCGCCTTTCGGGCGGGCCACGCCTAGCGGATGGGCCCACGTTCCACCACCGCCGCCACAGAGAGGACGGGGAAGAAGGGTGATTCGGGAGGCTTTCTTCGTCCTCCTCTTCCTCCTCTTCCTCCTCCTCTCTTCCTCCTCCTCCTCCTCCTCCTCCTCCTCCTCCTCCTCCTCCTCCTCCTCCTCCTCCTCCTCCCACCTGTGGTAGCGGTGGTGGAAAGTCGGCCCATCACTCGCCCTCCGCCCCCCCCTTGTGCTGCATGCCTGGGGGGGCCTTTTTGTCCGCCCTGCGGGCTGTGATCGGCGCGGAGCAGACTCGGCGGCGAGCGAGCGAGGGGGGGGGGGAGTGAGAAGGGGAAGGCCTTCTCATAAGGCGGCGGGACTTCTCAGAACAGAAGCCCTCGCGCTTCCTGAGGAGTTTTCTGCCTCTGCGGGGAAGGCGCAGGGAACTTCTCAGAAGGCCAGGGTACTTCCTGGCCTTCCGAGAAGGCCTACTCCTTCTGATTTCTCCCCCGGTCTCCTGGAAGGCGCCCTTTGATTCTCGGTACTGTCGAAGTTGATGAATAAGTCGACCCTGCCAAATCAAGGGTGCCCTTGTGTCCTGTGTTTCGCGACCCAGGCCTTCTGCACTTCGATGGCAACGTGGCCCTCAGAAGGGTTTTGTGTCCTCTCTCGTGCCCTCCCCAGTCAACCTCGACTGTAGCGTGTAACGATCCCCATCCCGATCCCCACCATTCCACCACCCCAGTTGGGGACCCACCCTTCGAAACCTGTCCGAAATAGCCAATACCTCCATCTAGGGGGACGCATCGGCCGGGCCCAGGCCACGCTCTCGGGGACAGGGATCGGTCAAACGATGTTCAGGCTCGACGCAGGCTCGACGCGCACTCGACGCCTGCTCGACGCGGGCTTGACGGTCGACAGGGACTCCGCGCGGATCACGGCGCGATTGGGACAGGCAAGCCCCCCCCGGAGATGCCGAGTCCGGGCCTCCCGCGGGGGTCTTGCTGAGCTGATCTGCTCGGCCGGGAAAAAGCGGAGCCACGCCACGCTTGCCTTTTGACCTCCTGGCATGCTGTACAGCACTGTCCTCCAGACCTGTGGACTTGAAGCAGCCACCTGAAGATCAGTTCGATTCTAGGCTTCCTGGATGGAGTCGGGGTACATGGGGTCGGAGGATCACGACGCATCGCCGATCGATGATGCGGCTCGATTTGGAGCCCGTGTTTCCCCACGCCGACTGCGCCGATGCATCGCCGACGTCGCCGATGCATCGCCGATGCATCGCCAATACCTCTGCGATGCATTGGCGATGCGGTGCGATCCTTCGACCCCATCTACTCGAGCCCCATCTATGAGGCCTCTAGCTTTGTCCTTTAGCCCTGTAGAATTGAAGCAGCCACCTGAAGTTCAGTTCTGTGGTCATGGTGATACAGTGGAGTTCCATGCCAAGCACCCTGCTTGCCTCCAGGGTGCCCTGGGTTTCTTGGGTCTCGATGGTCATGCTATGGAAAGCGTGACGTTCACACGCCAACAGTCAGTGGACGGCCTGGGGTCTCAGGGTCGGGTTTCTGGTAGAAGGTTTCTTGTGGTCGAGCTCGTACTGTATGCAGCATCGCCCTTCAGCCCTGTAGACTCGAGGCAGCCACTTGAAGCTCAGTTCCATGGTCCTGGTGCTATGTTTGAGCTCTTCGGCAAGCCTGGGGCCAACCTCGGTTCCTGCTCGCCATCCGCGCGGCCTGCACCTCGAGCTCGCGCGCGTCAGCAGCATCCCGATGGCAGCAGTTCGGGACGTAGAGCAGCTTTAAAACAACACACACATTTGGGAGCCGCGTCTGTCTTTGGCGACTCAGCTCCAGTCTCCAGGAGCACCACCCCATGTTGGCTGGACCTCTGTTTGCGCTGCTCAGGCTTGCGAGGGGAAGAGAGCCGCCTGTTCCTTTCTCCCTACTCACACTGTATCCTGCTCCCTGCCCCTTCTCCTGCAATTGCCCTACCCCGCGGTCCTCCTCTCTCTTCCGTGCCCACGGCCCACAGTGTGCTTAGGTTTGCCTGGTGCCGGTAATTATCTGTTTCTGAAGACCCGTGGTGATTCACACCCGTGGACCAGCCTCGATGCACAGGCGTGCCCCGCGTTGCGCGTAGTGCTGAACGGATGTGCAGTGGCCAGCACTCTGATCTCGTTTTTAGAATCCGGGTGGATTTGGCGACAAGGTGGAGGTGGAGGGGACGAGGACGACGATGAGGACGAGAGGAAGGGTGCTGGAGGAAGAGAAGGAAGAGGAGGAGGAGGTAGAAGTGGAGGAAGAGGTGAAGGAGAGAGGGGAGGGATTGGGCTGCAGGAGGAGGAGAGGGAGGATGTCAGGCGAAGGAGTATGGGGGAGAAGAGATGAGGAGCAGGACCAGGACTCCCTGAGGAGGAGGAAAAAGGGAGGCGGCCTCTCCCTCCCCCCTCAGCCCCCTCCTCCGTCCGCCTGTGCTCCTCCCCCCTCTCCCCTCCTCCCTCCCTCCCCTCCCCTGCTCTGACTTCCCCCCCCCCCCCGCTCTCCCCCGCTCTCCCTTGCCCCTCCCTCCTCCATCCGATTCCCTCCTCTCGCTCCGCCGACGAGGAGGGGAGGTTGTCGAGCACGGGAAGAGACGGCGGCGTCGACGAACGACGACGACGACGACGACGACGACGACGCACCGACGACGACGACGACCGAGGAGTAGGAGGAGGAAGAGGAGGAGCACGGCGACGCCGTCAGAGGATGACGACGGCCGAAGAGGACAGCGACCGGCGACGCCGTCGACCCCAGAAAGGACGATGCCGACGACGGCAGGCGCGAAAGGCGCGGGGGCCTCGACCGATCCGCGGCGCGCGCAGGCTGCTCTCGAACTACACCCGAAGCACGCCGTCCCTTGCGAGGTGACCGCGGGCCAGCGCGGGCGTCTCGCCGCGCGCTCGCGGCCCGCCGGAGAAGAGCGACCCTCGCCCGCCATCCGGATGAGGGAGGGAGATACTTCGAAGTGGAGGGTTTCCTCGAAGGGCTCAGGCGGCCCGTCCTCCTCCTTCTCCTGTTCCTCCTCCTCCTCCTCCTCCTCCTCCTCCTCCTCCTCGTTCTCCTCCATCTCCTGCTCCTCCTCCATCCCCTCCTCATTCTCCTGCTCCGCTTCCTCCTCCTCCTCCTCCTCCACCTCCTCCTCCTCGGGTCGCCTACGGCCACGGAGGAAACCGTGCTCCTCGAAGGAGAAAATCACGGTTTAGCGGTATAGCAATGAAAGCTCGGAGTTCTGCGCGGATTCCCTAGATCTGCGCTGGAACCTCTCTGGCGGCGCGGATTTCTTGGACCTGCGCTGGAACCACCTGGCGGCGCCTCTGGCGCCGCCCCGTAGCGCGCTCCGCGCGCCACGGATGGGGGGACCCAGCGCCGATCCAAGAACTGCGCAGGGACCTCCGAGAAATTATATGTATGCTTTCCTTTGTTTTCGAATGAAAAGTGCCAGCGTCGCTGCTTTGTCCTGGAGGGCCCCCGTCGCCACGGTGGTGGTGGTGGCGATGCTGGTGGTTGCGGTGGTGGTGGTGTGGTGGTGGTGGTGGGTGGTGGTGGTGGTTGTGGCGGTGGTGGTGTGGTGGTGGTTTGTGGTGGTGGTGGGTTGTGGTGGTGGTGGTTTGGTGGTGGTATGGTGGTGGTTTGTGGTGGTGGTGGTGGTTGTGGGTTGTGGTGGTGGCGGTGGTTTGTGGAGGTGGTGCTGGTGGTGGTGGTGGTGGTGGTGGTGGCGGCGGTGGTGGTGGTGGTGGTGGTGTGGTGGTTTGTGGTAGTAGTGGTGGGTTGTGCTGCTGGTAGTGGTGGTGGTTGTGGCGGTGGTGGTGGTGGCGTGGTAGATTGTGGTGGTGGTGGTGGTGTTGGTTGTGGTGGGTTCTTGTAGTGGTGGTGGTAATGGTGAGTTGTGGTGGTGGTGGTTGGTGGTGGTGGTGGCTGTGGTGGTGGTGGTGGTTGTGTGGTGGGTTGGTGGTTGTGGTAGTGGTGGGTTGAGGCGTTGGTGGTGGTGGTTGTGGCGGTGGTGGTGGTGGTGGTAGTGGTGATTATCGTCGCTGCGTCCCCGCCGTCGCCGGCGCCAGGAAGGGGGGGGTTGACACCCCTCCACCCCCCTCGGCGCCAGGGTGGGGGGGGGTTGAACCCCCCCCCCTTGGGCCGCCTCTGGTCATCGTTGCTGCGTCCCCGCTGTCGGCGCTGCTGGCGGCCGCTGGCGCCGGGGGGGGGTCTGAACCCCCCCCCCCCCTGGGAGGGGGGGGGGGTTCGTGAGGGGGGGGGTTTGAACCCCCAAAACGGGGAGGGGGTTTTGGGAGGGGGGGGGTTTGGGGGGGAGGGGATTCCCCCTGGTTTTGATCGACGGCGCCGAGTGTTGGGGGGGATGCCCACCCCCTGTTTCGAAACGCGCCGCCGAATGTTCCCAAGGCAAGCGCCCGTGAAACGCGTTCTCTCTGTTGTTGTTGTCGCTTCGCGTAACCCCATCAGCCCATCCAGAAACGATGCCCCGACGAGTTGCCTTGATCCTGGAGCTCGACACGGACCTCCTTCATGTTTTGAAAGATTTGACGTCCTCGCTCTTCGAGTTCCCAGCGCTTCAGATCAGAAGCCTCCAAGAGGGCCCGAAGACGCCCACAGAGAGCCCAGGGACAGCCCAGAAAGCCTTTAAGATTGTCTCAGAGACTTCTAAGACGGCCCCAGAGGGGTCCAAGAGAACGCCAAGACAGGCACCGAGACTGCCAGGAGGCCCCCAACAGGCTCCGAAGAAGCGCGAAGGGACCCCAAGTGGCCCCCAGACGTCCCTCCGTCGCCATTTTGGCTCTAGCGATTCCGATCGAGGCTGTCACATCACGCGGCGGCCTTGTGAGTTGTCACCCCCTGTCAGACTTCAACTCGATCAAGAAGCCAATCCAACACAATGCGTGAGGCGATCTGCATCCACATTGGGCAGGCGGGTGTGCAGATTGGCAATGCATGCTGGGAGCTTTTCTGCCTTGAGCATGGTATCCAGCCTGACGGCCAGATGCCCTCTGATAAGACGATCGGAGGCGGCGACGATGCCTTCAACACGTTCTTCTCTGAGACTGGCGCTGGCAAGCACGTCCCCCGCTGTGTGATGGTCGACCTAGAGCCCACTGTGGTCGATGAAGTACGCACGGGTACCTACCGTCAGCTGTTCCACCCTGAACAGCTCATCTCTGGCAAGGAGGATGCCGCGAACAACTTCGCGCGAGGGCACTACACCATCGGCAAGGAGATCGTCGACCTCGTCCTGGATCGGATCAGGAAGTTGGCCGACAATTGCACTGGCCTCCAGGGCTTCATGATCTACAATGCCGTCGGCGGAGGCACTGGCTCCGGGCTCGGTTGCCTGATGCTGGAGCGCTTGTCTGTAGACTACGGGAAGAAGACGAAGTGCTCTTTCACTGTGTGGGCGTGCCCGCAGGTCGCCACGGCAGTGGTGGAGCCCTACAACACTGTTCTCTGCGTGCACTCCCTCCTGGAGCACACTGATGTCACCATCATGTATGACAACGAGGCACTGTACGATATATGCCGCCGCAACCTTGACATCGAGCGCCCTACTTACACCAACCTGAACAGGCTGCTGGCGCAGATCATCTCCTCGCTGACTGCGTCGTTGCGCTTCGACGGTGCTCTGAACGTGGACATCACCGAGTTCCAGACGAACTTGGTGCCCTACCCACGCATCCACTTCATGCTCTCCAGCTATGCACCCGTGATCTCTGCGGAGAAGGCGTACCATGAACAGCTGTCAGTGGCGGAGATCACCATGTCCGTCTTCGAGCCCGCATCAATGTTCGTGAAGTGCGACCCTCGTCATGGCAAGTACATGGCATGCTGTATGATGTACCGCGGAGACGTAGTGCCCAAAGATGTGAACGCCGCGGTAGCTACTATAAAGACCAAGCGCACCATTCAATTCGTGGATTGGGCTCCCCGGCTGCGGCTACGGCCGCGGCCCGGCAGGGGGAGGCTCGGAGGTGGCTGTACCCATGTCCTTGCCACACTGCTGCCGAAAGTCCAACCTCACCTACCGACGAAAGTCTGGCGGGGAGCGGGAACGATCCCACGGCGCTGTGGCAGCCTCTCCCGCCCCCTCCGGCTCGCCGGAGGTTTCGCGGGCTACCCTCCGGGGTGGAAGGGCGCCAACGGCACGTGGTTGACGCGGCTAACGAGGCTCTGGCGGGCGTGGCTCTGGGCTGGAGAAGTACCTCGCACGAGGGACTGTCTGCTGACCGGGGCCATATGCTGACGAGGTGCCCGGGGTGTTCCCAGCTTCGGGATTCTCGGTGCTCGTGCTACCGCGTAGGCAGTGGCGGGGGGGCCAAAGACATGCAGGGAATTCAACCGGCCCGCGGGTCGCAGCCTGACAGGTGGGTGGGCCAGCCGACCTACATGTGGGAGTGCCTTATAAAGCTCCGGCCTACAGGAATGCCCATGTGCGGACCGTCGCGCTGGTTGCCGTTACAGCTCCTGGCCTGCTCCGAACTGCTACAGAATCCAGAAAGGGGTTCTACGGGATGGGCGCCCCGTAACAGATCCAGCACGCAGTGGGGGTCTCTACTGCGTCAACGAGATCCCCCCCGGAGGGCCGACCCGAGGCCGCGGCGCGGCCCGCACGCGGGTGCTTATTCGTGGATTGGTGCCCCACGGGCTTCAAGTGCGGCATCAACTATCAGCCTCCCACAGTGGTCCCTGGTGGCGACCTGGCCAAAGTCATGCGCGCCTGCTGCATGATCAGCAACTCCACCGCCATCGCAGAGGTCTTCTCGCGCATCGACCACAAGTTCGACCTTATGTACTCGAAGCGCGCGTTCGTGCACTGGTATGTGGGTGAGGGTATGGAGGAGGGCGAGTTCTCCGAGGCTCGCGAGGACCTGGCGGCGCTGGAGAAGGACTATGAGGAGGTGGGCATCGAGACCGCAGAGGGCGAGGGCGAGGAAGAGGGCTACGGCGACGAGTTCTGAGCAGGCTGCCACTGAGCAGCTGCACGAGGGAGGGTAACCGAGGAGTCGCACTCTCGTTGAGAACGGCGTGCTTCCACGACCTTCCCCAAATACTTGCGTGTTTGCACGCAGCAGATCGGCGTATTTTCCACGCTGACCTGTGGCTGTTCACTTGTGCAACACATCTTGGCTCGGGGTGGCCGAACCGTTAGACCGCCTCGTGCCCCTGCCACCTTGTCATCGCGCCTGCAGAGAAACCAACCAAAGAGGGCCCCAGACGCCCCCAGGGGGTCACCGAAAATGCTGTCAGCAGGCCCCTGGAGGCTTCGCAAACATACCCCAAGACATGGGCTCGAGTAACCTTCCAAGAGGCAGCGTTCGTGCTCCTGCGGGTCTCCAGGGCCACTGGGGGGGAAGGTGGTCACGCGCGGGAGCCCCTCGACCTGCCCAGGAACGCGCGGATCCACAATCGGGGGCCCATCGCCGATCTAGCGGCGATGTACCGCCGATTCCATTCCAGGTCGCTGCGTCACACCCCATGCCAGCCCCCCCTGTCGCTGCCCCTCGAAAGCCGGGTCAAGGATGACCGCGAACATCTTCTTGGGCCTCCCAGATGGGGTCGGAGTAGACGGGGTCGAAGGTTCGCCCGATGTAGAGGCCGATGTTCTCCACGCCGACGTCGCCGATGCATCGCCGATGCGTCGGTGATGCATCGGCGATGCATGAGCGATGCATCGACGACGCATGGGCGCTGCATCGACGATGCTGAGCGATCGTCCGAGCCCATGTGCTCCGAGCCTTTCTGGGAGGCTTCTACTCTTCCGGCAACCAACCTCGGGAATCTGATGCTGGCCTCCCGGGCCCCGCCGTCGCCCGCCCCCGCCGACCGTGCCCCCGCGCGCCCCTCGTGGCCCGGCGGGGCTCGGCGGGGCTCGGCCGAGCCCTGGGGCGGGCCGCGGCTGCAGCCGCGCGCGTGGCCGCTGACAGCTAGCACCCGTACCCATGCGACCCGCATGCTCCTCGGGGTCGAATTCTGGGGGGGGGGCTGTGGGTGCGCGTTATCGGATCGGGTCTCCGCTCGAACGGGGGCCCTCGGATCGGAGTCCGACAGCCTTTGCCCATAGCTGCAGTGCAGCCTCCAACCGCGAGGCGCGGGTCCCCCCCCCCTACAAGTATGAGCGCGTGTCGCCCGCTCGTCACGAGCAGCGGGCCGCACCCCTCTGCTGTCGCCCGCCTCAAACAAAAACCTCAGGGAAGGCCAGTTTCACAGAGGCAGGGTGCCGTGATTTTCTAGTGGGCCTCGTCGGATTTGAATGGCCGTTGGAGGCAATTCAGATTTCCCCCCCCGTTTCGGTGAAACTCTCTCGCCTCTCGCCCCTTGGAAGTGATATCCCGCCCCCAGAGCCCTCAGTGTGGGATCCCACCAAGATCCCAAACCCCACTAAGATCACAACAAGACCCCACTCGCATTTCAATTTGAGCCCAAGAGGAATGTATGGCTCTATGGTTTCGATGGTTGCCTCGGCCATGTTTGCGTGGTGTCGAAGAGAACCCAAGCATGATTTCTCTTCGATGGGGACGCAATACAGGTTTCTCTTCTACATCTCTTACTCCCACCCCTCGCTGACTGACTAAGATAAATCAATGTGTGGGGTGCTATCGATATCGCTCGGCGGTTCCCCCCTCGGAGATCGATTGATTAGTTTGTACTCCTGGTATCGCTGGGGGCATTCTTAGTTGCTTCTCGCAGGTATTCGCTTCTCCGGTCATCCTGGATGGCCAGGACAGCCCGAGAGTCTTCCAATAGCGCGGCTAGGACCGCACTGGAAACGACAGGCCATCAGGCTCTCAAGAGGGCCTGGGGGGAGTCGCAAGACGCTGGGTCCAGCGACAAACGCCGGGAGGCAATGATCGCGCCGTTCTGCCGTGGCACGTTCTGCGCCTCTTCCAGCTCAGCTCGCGTGCAGCCTTGACTCAGGCGAGCCACCCCACTTCGCGGCGATTGTCCCTCACGTGAGCGCGCGCACACTGACCGCCAATTGTCGCTGATCAGACGAGCGAAGACGATGGTCGAGCAACGTGACGCAACTGTCACTAGAACCTTTGCGCGCAAAGTGCGCGCGTGGTTTGATCACGCCTCAGCGCTGTCCTACAAACATATGCGTCTACATCCATACAACAGACCGTTCATGCATCAGTCCAGTCGTACATGGTTCCGTACATTCCACCGTACATGATCGATCAATGTTTCTTTCGAGGCAGCCCGAAAACCAGACGTGGTCCAACCGTTTAGCCATCGAGCCAGCCCCACATGTCTATTGACACCGTCTTCGGAGTCGTTTGGGACCTGGGTGCGCGCGTAGCGCGCGCGTCGTGATGGTATGTGTTTTTGTGTGTATACTTGCGTGTATACATACACATTGCGTCTCGTATGTTGCCCCGTCTGTATAACCACAAAGAGCTGTAGTATGCCCCATCGGAGCCCAGTTTTTTGTTTTAAAGTATTATTTTCGTGTAGTTGCCGCGCTGTTTACAGGGCTACGACGACACAGAAATATGAGTACATACATGTAAGTGCAGACATGTGCTTCTATACACTCAGCATGACCTCTCGTTCCATTTTGAGTATCAGCTCACATCATATCAGCCATGCTGGCATCGCCTCCCCGCACATTCCTGTCACACAGTGCCATGCGGTGCACACGCGTTGATCTAACACGTGCGTTTTGTCATAAGCTTTCTCACATGCTATTATGCTGCCCTTATGCGCGCGCCCCCCCGTGCGCATGCTCACGTCAACACATACACACACACCTTGTTTGTTGAAACCAGTCAGCATATCTCCCTCATGCTAGAAACACATGTTTTCATGCCTTTTCGGCAACCAACTGCCACACTCATGCGCGCGCCCTTTGAACGGCCACCAAACACTGATTGGATCTTTGGCCATGCTGTCGACTGGTCACGCGCGCGCGCGTACATGTGGAACACATTCAACCATCATCATCGCGCTGCCCTCCTACTCCGTCAAAAAGTTCCATGCGGGTCACGCGCGCGCGTCGCCTAGTGCAGGCGTCGAAGCCCTGCACTCACATGTTCTGTTGTGTGTCTCCCATTATGTGAAGCATCGTTTCAGCACACAGGTGTGCAGCACCATGTGGGACCCAGTGGTTGATCAATACAAGTTCTGTCCGAATTTCGGGCGTTCTCCCCCCGCGCGCTTCATTACCATCCTCAGCAGCACAATCGTTATCATCATCGTCTATGTCATCATTGCCACCGCCATCAACATTTCCGTCATCTTCATCGCCATTATGCCATCATCATAATCGCCGTCGTTACCGCCGCCGTCGTCATCAATATCATCGTTGTTATCGTTGTTGTCGGCGCCCGTTTCGTCAGCGCCATCATCAGCATCACCACCCTAGACACGGACCTGCTCGACAAGAGTTTTCGCGTCCTTATTTCAGTTGTGGTGTACCAACAAGATGCGGGTGAGTGGGTGGGACGTTTGCTCGAGTCTTGGAGTTGACGCCTGGCATTTGAGCTCACGGCTCCAAGTTCGTCAACATTAGTTGCGCCGTGTGGATGTCCCGTTTCTAGTGGTAAACATACATCGGTTTCCCCTCCGTCTTTCCGGGGTTGATGTTTATCCTTTCAGTAGCGCGAGACACCACATGCTCGCGTAGATGGTCATGCGCATTTGTTAATGCAAGTTGCGTGTGCGTAACATCGGTTTTACTATTGTTTGGTAGTCTAGCATCTGTTAGGTATGGGGTGTTATGGGCACACATACTTACAATACCTACGCTGGGGCAACCTGTATGCCTACATCGTATGCTTGTACGTCATGCGATACACGGCAGGTTAACCGAACACATGTGCGTTCAACATACGTTCATACAGCATGTTGCACTATCGATGGAAGCGCCTATGTGGCCGAACGTTGAGGCCAGACCTGCCAAGCTATCGGACCACGTGTTCCCCGAATCGGTTTGGAAAGCCTTCGGGGAACACGTGGGCATCTTGAAGGTCATCTTGGCCGTCTTGGAGGCCTCTTGGGCAAGCTTTGGGCGATCTTTGGGGCTTTTTGGGCCGTCTCGGGCCAGCTTCGAGCCAACTTCGGCCATCTTGGTGGGTTCCTGGCACGTCTGAAGCCGTCGGAAGCCGTTTGGGGGGCCTCTATGGGCCGACTTGGGGCCCGCTTGGAATGCTCCAGGGCCGTCTTGGAGGCCATCTTGGGCGTCTTGGAGGCCATCTTGGGCGTGTTGGAGGCCTCTTGGGCCCTCTTGGGGCCCTCTAGGGGCCATCTTGGAGGCCACTTGGGCCATCATGGGGCTCTCTTGGGGGCCTCTTGGGCGATCTTGGGGGCTTCTTGGGCCGTCTTGAGCCGTCGGAGAGCCGAACAGGCGCAAATGCCAAAATCCTTCAAAAACCAAGGGAAAATCAATGATTTTGGCCTCTTCGGACTCTCCTGGAGGACCTCTTGGAGGCCTCTTGGGCCGTCTGGGAGGCCTCTGGGGGGCCTCTTGGGCCGTCTTGGGCCGTCTTGGACTCTCTTGGGCCGTTTTGGAGGCCGTCTTGGACCATCTCGGGCGGACTTGGAGGCCATCTTGGGCCATCTTCGCGATTTTTTGAGGATGTCCCGAGCGAAACGGCCGTTTTTGGGCATTGACAGACGCATTTTGGGAAATTTACGGGTGGCCGGCGGGACGGGCCGAAGCCCATTGGGGAGTTCTTTTAGAAAAAGAACCAAAACCAAAACTGAATCATCCAGCACGCCGTGCACCCCTGCAAGCAGGGGGCGGCGGATCTAATGTCCTTCGGCCCATCCCGCCACCGTGCCTGGGTTGTGGGTCTGAGTCCTCTTGGATGTTCATTGGGATCTCGTCGGGGCCCCTTGGGGGCTGCTGAAGGCAGTTTTGAGCCCCCTAGGGGACTGTTTTGAGGCCTCTTGGGGTCCTCTTGGTTGCCTCTTAGGGCCTCGTGGGGGCCTCCTGGAGCCTCTTGGGCGTCTCTTGGGGCCTCTCGTGGGTGCCTCTTGGGGCGGATGGCTAGGATTTTTGGTTCGTGTTCCCCCTTTTGGGTCCCTCTGGGGCCCTCTTCAGCAGTCTTGGGCGCCTCTTGGGCCGTCTTGGGGCCTTCTTGGGCCGTCTTCGGGCGGTCTTGGGGGCTTCTTGGGCCGTCTTCGGTCGGTCTTGCCTCTTGGGACGTTTTGGAACGTCGGAAGCTCAAAACAAAGAGAACCCCCAAAACATTTAGCAACCGAGTGTAAATGAATGAGTTTGGCCTTTCGGAGCCCTGTTGGGAAGGCTCTTGGCTTGGGGCTCTCTTGGGGCGTCACAAAGGCTTCCTCGACCGTCTTGGGGTTATCGTGGGCGTCTTGTGAAGCTTTGGGCCCGTCTCGGAGGCCTCTTCAGACGGTTCAGACGGAAGAGTAGCGTATGCAGAGTTTGCGAGATTGCAGTGCAAGTGGAGAGCGACGTCGGCACATTTGCCGCACGCAGGCCGCTCAGGCATAGAGCACGACAGCACAATAGAAGTTATTTTGCAGGTGATCCCCAGCAACCATAATCAGAGGCAGTGCGTCATTGGAGAAGACGCTGTTGCTGAAGTGGGCCAGCAGCATGACGAAGGCAACCCCCTTTGAATCGGTAAATTCGGCCTTGGCGCGAGGATGGACATAGGGAATCAATCCCTGGCGTGGGCAACCCAACATAAGCTTACCATCACACGCGCTATGTTTCAACACGTGTCGGAAGACGTATGGACACGTATATTGTGGAGTATTGGGGGGGGGCACGCGACACATGTATTATGTGTTAATTCACCGCAGCCTCAAACCAGAGTTGCACAACACAGATGTGATTGCCGATTGTATGCAAAAGACGGTCCGCAGGGCAGCTTTGGCAACATATGGCAGTACGCACACACACGGATACGATGGAAGCTGCCGAAGGTGGGCCGAGGATGGGACATGACAGCGTACAAAGAAGAATACCATGTTGCACAAGACTACCTTGCGCGAGTCATCCAAGGACGTCGCCTCAGTGGCAGAGGCGCTTTTGAAGGCTGCTTCAGGATGCGGCGAAGTACGGAAGGGGGCCAGGACGATTGAGGAGACGTCCGAGTTTATCAACAGCTACGGGAAGAGAGGAACGAATGCACCAGCAAGAAAGAAAATGAACATAAGTCACTTCGCTTGAACAGATCGCTCCGCGACCAAATTCGGAAGAGGCGTGACGAGCAGCTTGACGAGTTCATCCTCAGAGGGGCAGCGAAGAAACTACCTGGGTTCCAAAGGTCCATAGCCAACGTCCGAGTTTCATAAGGAAAACTGCAATCCAGAAGGGGAGACGTAGCTGAAGTCTCCGCATCGTTTCGCGAGTCTTTGTATGACGCTCCGCTGGAAGGCGCTGGAGCGACCAGACCAAGCGGTAGGAAATCGGCAGTAGAAGTACAGACAGACGTCGCATGACACATTTTTCATATGAAGGAACAAGGCTAACGCGGAAGACGGTTTGGCGGCCGAGATGTTGAAGGAGGGCGGGAACGACATGATGCATGCCATCGCCGAGGCTTTCGCCGTCCTGCTCAACGGCGTGGCCTGGGCCCCAGATTCGTGGCGCGCCTCCAAGTTTGTCGTTGTACTCGCGACAGGCGAGACAATCCGCCCGAAGAATTACAGGCCCACCACGATCATCCCAGTTTTGAATATGTAAGTTGCATATCAGCGTGATCTTGAGGCGGATGGATCGCATCTTGGATAGATTCCGAACGCCAGAAGAAGTTTGATTTCGCCAGGGTTATGGGTGTTGCGATTTAGTCCATTGCGTGCGTATGGTCAGTGAGAAGAGCATTGAATGGGGGGGGACGGTTTGGGTGGCCTCAATAGATGTGGACAAAGCATTTGACAAGATCATACATGCGGCTGTGCTTGCGGGTCAGCAGACAGCCGGAATCAGCGAAAGCGAGTTGTTGGCCGTTCAGGATTTGTACAAGCGCCAGCGGGCGTATATTCAGCTTGGCCCCAATCTTCGAAACACCTACTTCGACATTCTTCGTGGCGCCCGGCCAGGCGATCCCATGTCACCACCGGCATTATTCTCGAATGCAGTCAGGAACGCGACGGTGCGCTGGAAAGAACCGTAGGAAAATAATTGGTGCGGGAACATCATCGGCAGCGGCTTTCGGGAGAAGAGCTGGATGGCTCATGCCATGTTCGCTGATGACGCCGCGCTTGTGGCCATATCAGAGCGAGCTTTGGCAAACGCGTTAGCTTCTATACGCGGCGAGCTCCTAAACATCGGTTTGCACATGAATGCGGACAGATGCCGCGCGCGGCGCTCCGGAACATTTCCCCGACCCCCAAAAACAAGAAGGTCCAGTTATCTCGACAAAAGTGCCCGCTTGTCAGCTGCAGGGTTGGGGTTTCATGTTTGGTGGGCAAGTATTAACATCAAAATGGAAGTTGGCAGGGAATCTCATCAATCTGCAAAATGCACGATGGGCCAAAAAAGGTGACCCAATGGAGGGTCCATGCCTGGTGGGACGAACAATGAAAAGGGACGCTCGGATGCCCAATTCGCCTCCAGCCCGGCTGGTCCAGCAGATGGGAAGACGAGTTGGTGCCACATGCAAAACATACCAGCTGACACTCGTGGGCGCACGAGGCATTGAGTGAGATTGTCTGGCAGGAGAGTGAACGGGATTGTCTGCAGCGGGCGTTGCGATGACCGCGCGGCTTCTCGTGCAAACGTTTCGTGTTTTATTCGGTTTGGGCGCAATCGCACATCCAGTGGCCTTCTTAGAAGGCATGCGCGCGAACGGCGCGCCTGTCCCCCTTTGCAGGGGCGCTGGCTTCCCGGCGACGGCAGCTTCGTCCGTTCGTTCGGAGGCCTCTTGGATCCTCCTGGGACCTTCTCAGGGGTGGCTTGGCCTGTTTTGGGGCCTCCCTGGGTGGGGGCGCCGTCCCAGACGCCTGCGCGGAATGCTCTGAGACCGCCCTGCCGCGCCCAAGAGCGCCTGGGAGTTGCGTGGTCTGGGCCCTACTTTTCAGGGCTGCCCTTTCAGAACTACGTGAACCACTGCGTGCTGAAGGCTCGGTGGCAGATGAATTGCTGGTATACGGTGTGCCTTCAGTCTCACAAGTAAGATTGGAAAACGCTTCTTCTATGCCAGCCATGCCCACTACCGACGCTCTCTGTTCATCTCTATCAACGAATCAGGTGGTGCGCGCACGTTGCTATAACAAGTCGTTTCTCGAAGGGCCCTTCGCAACACATATCATGATGGCTACATGCGCGTGCCGCCGCGCCCGCGTGCCGAATCCTTGTAACACCCAATAACCCATGTAACAACATGTCACGCCATTCGCTATGGACAAGATGGACAATAAAGAACTCTGACATATTGCTGCGCACGCTCGTTGACATGTGGACGGGACCATGCTGCATTTTGGCGAATTGGATTATGTTGGCCACGCACGAGTGCTTGTTGAACGCGTTTGCATGCAATCGCGCACCCGCCCACCCTGTTAAATCCCACGCGGGCCACGTGCGCGCGCGTCTCCGCGCGTGCACGTCGAGCTTTGTCCAAAACAAATTTCTTTGGTAGGGGTTTGCGGTCGAGTAAGCCCTGCAACAGAATATGCGCATTCCGCGGGTTTCAGTCGCATGTTTGCTAAGCATTTATATTTTCAGTCCGCCCGCACGCTTTCACCAGCTGCATCGTCCCATGCGTTACAATCATCGTCAAGAGTTGGGCCTCGCCAGTGGTCATCGCCACCATCATCAAACCGAAACCTTCATCATCGTCATCGTCATTGTCGTTGTTGTCGCCTTCGCCATCTTCGCTACCACAGTCACCATCGTCAGCATCGTTTTCGTCGCCGGTGTTGTCATCACCATGAGCCGTCGCCCGCCCGACTCACGGATCTTCATGAGCAGGGGTCGGGTGAAATTGCGCTTGTTGAGATTTGTGAGCCAGTCCTTACGAGTAGCATCGCCTACGTTCTTTGGAGTTGTGCTAACAAGTTGCTGGTGGGTGGGTGGGGTGTTTGTTCGATCGTTGGAGCTGGCGCCCCCACTTCTACCGAATGAATTGCGTTGCGCCGACGACACCCCGTATTTTGCCCAGCGGGATGCGCATGTTCAATGTTTCGTTCGACTCGCTGGCGCCATCTTTTTGAATCCCTGATCATTATTGACCTTCTTATTCCCACTATTGCCGATCATGTGTCTGTTTTCGTTTCGGCCAGAGCGACTGTTCTACGCCTGAACTCATCCGAACAATCGGAAGTCAGCTTCCCCGATAAGCAGCCATGCGCGAGTTGGTGCACATCCAGGGTGGCCAGTGCGGCAACCAGATCGGGGCAATACGGGGCCAAAAGTATACACCACCACCACCTCCTTCACCCTTTCCTTCTACCAGGAAAGAGGGGAGCAAGAGGAGATAGAGGAGGGAGGAGGAACCGACGTGGTGGTAATGCTTATGTTTGTGGCCCGCAGGCAAAGTTCTGGGAAGTAATTTCGGATGAACATGGTATAGATCCTACAGGCACTTATCATGGAGATTCCGACCTCCAGCTCGAGCGCATCAACGTCTACTACAATGAGGCCACAGGGGGCCGTTATGTTCCGCGCGCCGTGCTGATGGATTTGGAGCCAGGCACCATGGACAGCGTCCGTGCTGGACCTTTTGGGCAGCTTTTCCGTCCGGACAACTTCGTATCCAGTTGCGCTGCCGCGCATATCCGTCATCGCGCTTGGGGAAGTTTTGTAGTAAGGCTGCAGGTCGGCAAGGTAAGTAAGGAATGGCACGATACACATATTGCACCACACGGATCGAATCCGTTTGCGCCGCACATGTTGCACAAAGCTGAAGTGTATGAGACACAAGGGTGACATTCGTTTGCCGAAGCGACAAGTTGATTGTCAAAGGGGAATGGAGGAGGAGGAAGTCGATGATGTGGGGAGGAAAAGGCGGAGGAGGAGGCGTAGGAGGATGACAAGGCGCATGTGGAATGGATGGGTTATCGAAGACGCCTACGCCGAATCACCGCCGCCCCCTGCTTTTTTTGAAGCGCCTATGTGGCCGAATGTTGAGGCCAGACCTGCCAAGCTATCGGACCATATGTTCCCCGAATCGGTTTGGAAAGCCTTCGGGGAACACGAGGGCATCTTGAAGGTCATCTTGGCCGCCTGGAGGCCATTTTGACCCTTCCGGGCCTTCTTGGAGGACGTCTTGAAGGGCTTTTGGGCCGTCTTGGGGCCTCTTGGGGCCGTCTTGGGCCTCTTGGGCGATCTTTGGGGGCACTTGGGCTGTCTCGGGCCGTCGGAAGGCTGAAAAAATGCAAATGCCATAATCCTTGAAAAACTCATGGGAAATCAATGGTTTGGGCCTTTTCGGGCCTTCCTGTAGGCCCTCTTGGAGGCCTCTTGGGCAGTCTTGGGTCATCTTAGTGCCATCTTCGGCCGTCTTGGTGGGCCCCTGGTCAGTCCGACGCCGTCGGAAGCCGTTTGGGTGGCCTCTCTGAGCCGACTTGGGGCCCTCTTGGAATGCTCCAGGGCAGTCTTGGAGGCCATCCTGGGCGTCTTAAAAGCCTCCTGGGCAGTCTTGGGAGTCTCTTGGGGCCGTCTTGTGGGCCTCTTGGGCCGTTCTGGGGCCATCTTGGAGGCCTCTTGGGAGATCCTTGGGTGATCTTTGGGGGCTTTTGGGCCGTATCGGGCCGTTGGAAGGCCGAAACGAAGCAAACGTCAAACTCCTTACGACAAAACCTAAGGCAAATCAATGTTGTTGGGCCTTTTCTGGCCTTCCTGGAGGCCCTCTTGGAGGCCTCTTGGGCCGTCTTGGGCCAGCTTCGAGCCAACTTCGGCCATCTTGGTGGGCTCCTGGCCCGTCTGACGCCGTCGGAAGCCGTTTGGTTGGCCTTTCGGGGCCGACTTGGGGCCCTCTTGGGGTGCTCCAGGACCGTTTTAGAGGCCATCTTGGGCGTCTTGGAGGTCTCCTGGGTCGTCTTTGTGCCCTCTTGGGGCCGTCTTGAGGTCCTCTTTGGGCAGTCCTGAGGCCATTTTGGATGCCTCTTGGGCGCTGTGGGGGCGATCTTGGGGGCCTCTTGGGTCGTCTTGGGTCGTCGGAAAGCAGAGAAGAAGCGAATGCCAAAATCCTTCAAACACCTAATGACCATCAATGATTTGGGTCTCGTCGGGCGCCGTCTTGGATGCATCTTGGGGCCATCTTAGCCGTCTTGGAGGCCATCTTGGCTGTCTTGGAGGCATCTTGAAGGCCATCTTGGCCGTCTTGGGACCATCTTGGGCCATCTTGGGGCGGAACAGGCATTGCCTTCCCCAGTTTCGGGGTGGCCGGCGGGACGGGCCGAAGCCCCAGGGGGAGTTCTTTTGGAAAACGAACCAAAACCAAAACCGAGAGGGTCCAGCACGCCAGGCACCCCTTTGCTAAAGCAAAAGGGGGCGTCGGATCGAATTGCTTTCGGCCCATGCCGCCACCGTGCTTGGGTTGAGAGCATAAAGCCTGTTGGACGTTGGTTGGGATCCCTTTGGGGCCTCTTGGGGTACGGGTATTGCCATCATTATGCAATCTACTACTACGACGACGAAAACGACGAGAACCTACTACTACTACTCCTACCCCTACTAATACTTCGATTACTTCGACTTTGACTAATACTAGCTTTACTTGAATTGTTAATTTTCTCAACTAATTCTACTACGACCACTACTACAATTCTTAGTACTCATTTCTACGACCACTACTACTCGAACTACTACTTTCACAACTACTGCTACTACTACTACTACTACTACTACTACTACTACTACTACTACTACTACGACCACCGCCACAACCACGTACTACTACTTACCGTTCCATTACCAGTACTATTTCTGCGAACGTGGCTTCTTCATCTTCTTTTTACGAATATTACGAATACGACGACCAGTATTAGTATTCCGAGTATTACCACGACCAGTAATAGGGTTACGGCTACCACTATTACCACATATCACGATTACGTCGACGACGACGACGGCTCCTGCTATTACTACTACTACTACCACCACTACTACTACTACTACTACTACTACTACTACTACTTCTACTACCACTACTACTACTACTACTACTACTACTACTACGACTACTACTACTACTACTACTAATGCTGTTACTACCATCATTATGATTACTGGTACAACAAAGACAAGCTGTTAATAGTATTACTACTGCTGGTGTCACTATTACGATTCTAATATTTTGAAGATTTAGTATGATTATGAGTCCTACTTCTACTACTACTATTACTACTACTACTACTACTACTACTACTACTACTACTATTGCTCCTACTACTACTACTACGACTACGACTACGGCTACGACGACCACTATTGCTTCCACTACGAGGACGACGAAAGCGACGATCATTACGACGACTCTTACGACTCCGGTACATACGACCACGACCAATATTAGTTTGATTTTTCCGAACACTCTTTCTACTACCACTTGCCACTATTACTACTACTGTGATTCATACTTCTACTTTTACATTTTACTACTACTACTACTACGACTACTACCACTACGACTTACTAGTTCTTACCTTTGGTGCTCATAATGCGACTCTTTCTTTTTCTTTTTTCTTTTTTCTACTACTACTAGTACTACTACAGTGGATACCACTGTTGCGATTGTCACGAATACGAGGACCACCATTAGTACTCCGAGTATTACCACGATCACTAATAGGGGTATAATTACTACCGCTACCACATAGCACGATTACTTCGACGACGACGACGACTCTTGCGTTCACTACTACTACTACTACTACTACTACTACTACTACTACTACTACTACTAGTAGTACTACTACTACTACTACTACTACTACGATTAGCATGGCTGCTACTACTACGACAACAACAACTACTACTACCGCTCGTACCGGTACTTCTAACAATATTTTTTGCCAAAAAACTATTGGTAATGTTTGTTGTCGCTACTTTTAGTATTATTCCAGCTATTACTCATACCACGGCTTCAACCACTACTACTACTATTATTGCTACTACTACTACTACTACTACTACTACTACTACTACTTCTGCCACCACTACTGCCACTACTTCCACTACTACTACTACTACTACTACTATTACTACTACTACTACTACTACTACTACTACTACTACTACTACTACTACTGCTACTGCTACTACTACTACTACTACTACTACTACTACTACTACTACTGCAACTACGCCTACAACGACGACGACGACGACGACGACGACGACGACTACTATTACTATTACCACTACTACTACTACTACTACTACTACTACTACTACTACTTCTACTACTACTACGACCTACTACTACTACTACTACTACTACTACTACTACTACTACTACTACTACTACTACTACTACTACTACTACTACTACTTGTGCGACGACGACTGCACATACTGTCATAACTATTTACATATGCTTCGTACGTCTACTCCGAGTATCATTTCCAGCTAGTGCCATCCCAACTGCGCCTACACATGGCCTGGATAATATACCCTTCGTAACTCGCACAGACTAAAGGACAAATCAATGGTGCGCGCGCCGATGCGTACATTCCCTGGTGTGCGTTTTTTTTCCGAAGCCCAATGGTTCCATTAAACCCTACCAGTTTTATTTCGAGAGCTTTGCAGGACGACCCCGTTTGAAACATGTGCAAAGTACCCCCTGCAAGGTGATGCGTTCCCCCTTGCCGTCAGGAACTGTATGAGTCTTCTGGGGTAGGTAGCAGTTAATCGGAGAAAGTATGAGAAGTGCGGGACGGCCAGGCTGGCGCCACGGGGCGGGGGGATCCATGCTGCGTGCCTAGCCCCACTCCCGCTTTTGGAGCAAATTTCTGTTGGGAAGGCCATGAACACAGGGACTTGGAAGAGCAAACTGATTTCGGGTTGGGCTGGGTGCGTCGGGGGGCCATAGTTTTGGTTTCGCAAGGCTCAGCAGTATCGAACAACAAAGGGCCGACACACCAACCGCTGCAAGTGCGGTGGCGGATTTGGTCAGACTGGCGCAGGTAATAATTGGGCAAAGGGTCATTATACGGAGGGCGCCGAATTGATCGACAGCGTGTTGGATGTGGTCCGCAAGGAAGCAGAGGGATGTGATTGCCTTCAAGGGTTTCAAATGTGTCATTCACTCGGAGGCGGCACTGGAGCTGGCATGGGGACGTTGCTCATTTCCAAGGTGAGAGAGGAATATCCCGACAGGATCATGGAGACGTTCAGTATCATTCCGTCCCCAAAGGTTAGCGACACGGTCGTGGAACCATATAATGCGGTATTGTCTTTCCACCAGTTGGTGGAGAATGCCGACGAGTGCTTCTTGCTTGACAACGAGGCCCTTTATGACATATGTTTCCGTACGCTGAAGCTCACCACGCCCACGTATGGGGATTTGAACCACTTGGTGAGTGCAGCGATCAGTGGTGTCACTACTTGCTTGCGCTTCCCGGGGCAGCTCAACTGCGACCTGCGCAAGATTGCTGTGAACCTGATACCGTTTCCGCGCCTGCACTTTTTCATGACTGGCTTCGCGCCCCTCACTTCCCGTGGCTCCCAGCAGTATCGCGCGCTGACCGTGCCGGAGCTCACGCAACAAATGTTCGATGCCAAAAATATGATGTGTGCAGCTGACCCTCGCCATGGCCGCTACCTGACCGCGGCGGCCTTGTTCCGCGGTCGCATGTCCACCAAGGAGGTCGACGAACAGATGCTTAATGTGCAGAACAAAAATTCTTCATACTTTGTGGAGTGGATTCCGAACAACATCAAGGCCTCTGTGTGCGACATCCCCCCAAAGGGCCTCAAGATGGCAGTTGCCTTCGCAGGTAATTCAACAGCCATTCAGGAAATGTTTAAGCGTGTAGCAGAGTATTTTACGGCGATGTTCCGGCGCAAGGCTTTCTTGCACTGGTACACCGGCGAAGGCATGGACGAGATGGAGTTCACCGAGGCGGAGAGCAACATGAACGACCTTGTCTCGGAGTACCAGCAGTACCAGGATGCTACTGCGGAGGAGGAGGGCGAGTTCGATGAGGAGGAGGACGGCGAACAGTGAGGTGCTTCTCGGGTTTTCCGCGCGCACCTGACCTTGCTTGTTTTTGGCCTTCGAATAACCGACGGGCCGATGCATGCGTGCAAGGAAGCAACTCGTGAGAGAATCCAGGAGAACATATGTCTTCTCGAAAGGAGTCGAAGGAACCATGCTGGTACAATTCAAGTAGCTGTCCAGCGAGAGTTCCGTTCTGGGAAGAATCCGCCGTCAATCCTTTCTTCGGTTGCGCATTGTTAACTTTAGGTTGTCATTGCTAGCAGTCCAATACAAGAGGCCCATAATCAACAGGGTCAGGACTCACGCTTCAGCAACCCGCCTGCTCGACTTGGCCGCTTTGGCCCGCCTTCCCCACCCGCCGGCTAGGGTCTGCCTGTTTTCTGTTCTTAGTCTCCCTATTGCTACTTTCTTTCGTTTTCCATCCTTCTCCCCCTTCCATCCTTCGTCTCTTCCCTTGTTTTAGGGGCTGCACTACATGCGCGTGACAGGCAAGGAAGATATACCCCCAAGGGGGAAATGATCGGAAACGAAGAAGGCTGGTACCTCGGGTTTCGGGTAAACGTGATGAGTGGTACGCGAGCAGATCGGAACGAAGTGTGTTGAAAAGATGGTTGATTTTTCCGAAATGACAATTACGTTTGATCGTCCCTGCTGGGTAACATATGTATTCTTTAAAATTACATTGCTCCTCCCGGGGCTCGTACCCTCTTTCTAAGGGAAAACTCGGTGTCACCAAATGGGCCCCTGGCCCCCGGCTTATAACAACAGCAACAACAACAACAGCAACAGCAGCATCATCAATAACAACAACCGTTCCCGCCTGATTGGTCCTCACAATTTATTATCAAATCGCGCTCTCGCGCGGGATTTCCTTACACTTTGTACCCCGAAGTCGCGTTCTCGCGCGGGATTCCCGCGCAATTTATTCAGACGCCGCGCCCTCGACACTCAGAAATCACGCTCTCGCTGTGGCCATTCGATTTACTTGGGAATCGTGCTATCGCTCGAGACCTTGCGATTCATGCAGGACGCACGCTTCAGCAATCCGCCTGCCCCTTGTCCCTTCCATGTATCCGTTCTGTCTTCCCTTGCCCCAGGGGCTGCACGAAATACACGAAGGTTTACCCGTTATAGGGGGTTTGTTCGATGACGAGAAAGGCGGGTATCCAGGGTTTGGGATATTCGTGCTGAGTGTCACGCGAAATGATTGTTGTTGTTGTTGTTGTTGTTGTTGTTGTTGTTGTTGTTGTTGTTGTTGTTGTTGTTATAACTTCATTAATGGCAATTGGCAAATAGTTATTGTTCACCACCCCCACGGGTGCATATTGTTCATCACCCCCTCGGGGCTCGCACCCTTTTTTATCAGAGAACGCCGTACTGCTCAAACTGTGTTGTTGGCACCCCGGCTACAACAACAACGGCTCACGCCTGATACTTCCTCACAGCTTATTCCAACATCGAGCCCTCGCGCAGGACTTCGACATAGTTTATGCAGCAATCGCGCTCTCGCGTGGGACTTCCTTGCAATCTTTTCAGACGCCGCGCCTCGACACCCAGGAATCACGCTCTCCCTTGGGCCTTTCTTACGATTTACTTGGGAATTCTGCTATCGTTTTGGCCTTCCTCATGGTTGTTGTTGTTGTTGGCGTTGTTGTTGTTGTTGTTGTTGTTGTTGTTGTTGTTGTTGTTGTTGTTGCTGTTGTTGTTGTTGCTGTTGTTGCTGTTGTTGCTGTTGTTGCTGTTGTTGCTGTTGTTGCTGTTGCTGCTGTTGCTGCTGTTGCTGCTGTTGCTGTTGCTGTTGCTGTTGTTGTTGGAAAAGACGCGTTCTGTGGTCGCTTGGAGGGGGGGGGGGGAACTGGACCCCCCCCCCTCCCCCCTTGCCTCTCCGGTCTCCCTCTCCTCGTCTGACGGCGGCGGCGGCGGCGGGGACGACGATTTCCTTTTCTGGGCCGGCGCTGGCGCCTGCGGCGGCGGGCGGCGGCGGCGGGGAGCGTCGACAGTGGTGGTGGTGGGTTGTGGTGGTGGTGGTGGTGGTGGCGACGGCCGGATTCTCCCCGAGCTTCGTGTCCGAACGCGCCCCAGGAGAGGTCAGGGGAGCAGCGGCATCGGCATCGTTGTGTCCCCCCAGAGCCACCGCCCCGCGGAGGTCCCCAGGGTGGGCGTGGGGCGGGGGGCAGCTCAGCAGCACAGTCGGACCGAGGTGTGAGATCGAGGTCGGCTTGGGGAGGGTACCCTCGTGCTCTTCGTGTCTGCGGGGGGTGCTCTAGTGTATCCTCGGGATGGTACCCTTGGATGTTCTGTATACTTTTGGCCGGTGGAGGGTCTCATGTTCTTGAAGGGTGTTCTTCGGAGGAGGAAATGTTCTTGAAGGGTGTTCTTCTGTTTTAGGTCCGACTGCATGGCGGTGCCGCGCGATGGCCTCACTGGTGGAGTGTTGCTGCTTCTCCTTGGCGGTCTTCGAGGGTGCGGCGGCCCGACGTCGCAGGGCGGCCGCGGGAGAGAGGAGGAGTGGCGAAGAGGTAGCCCCGTCGGTGGGGTCCGATGCCGTCCAGCCTCGCCAGGGCAAAGGGCGTCAGGGCGTCGGGGTACCTGGGCGTGGGATCACGAGAGATCCTTGAGCCCAGACTGGAGAGAGAGAGAGAGATATGATAAAGTGAGAGAAGAAATAAAGAGAGACAAAGAGAAAGAGAGAGAGAGAGAGACAGACAGAGAGACAGAGAGAGAGAGAAAGGTATAGTGAGAGAGGTTGAGAGAGAGAGAGAGAGACAGACAAGAAGAGAGAGAGAGAGAGAGAGAACCATATACCTGAATCCCCTAAGCTGTGCTTGCTCTTCAGGGCTCTTGCTTCTTCTCTAGGGAGCACGGCCCGGGCGGCCTGGTCGCCGGTCTGGACGCTATGTGGTCGCCGTCGCTGCCCCGTCGCCGCCTAGCTGTCGCCCGCCGTCTGGGCCTGGGCGGTCTGGCGGCTACGTGGCCGCCGTCGCCGCCTCGTCGCCGCCCGTCGCCTGGGCCTGCGGGCCGCTCTGGCCGCCATGTGGCCACCGTCGCCGCCTCGTCGCCGCCCGCCGCCTAGTCGCCAGCCGCATTGCATTGCTTCGCATTGCTTTGCATTGCTTCGTAGATTGCACTGCGCAAATTGCAACACGTATATTCTCCTTTCTAATAAAGAATAGACTCTACCCCCCCCCCCAGACTTATCGGTTCCCCCTGGGATAACATGATTTCGTATATATATATATATATATATATAAATATTCTGCACTCTCGTCCATCCTAAATATGAAATCGTACCATCCCAGCTAGGCCGGTTTCCCCCCCCTGAGGTTCCCTTGCGAAAAACACTATGCGGTGACATTTTTGTTCTTAGCACTTTTTCGCGAATCCCTTGCAAAAAAAAGACGAAGTGCGCACGCGCGCGTCGTCGCGCGCGCATGCCGAAATCCTTCAAAAACCTTCGATGCGGGAAGGATTTCGCAATCGAGTTTCCAAAAACACATACAAAAACACAGGGTTTCGCAACACAGAGTTGCTAAAACAGCTTCCGCGAAAGCTCTTGCGAAATCTTAAGAAAACCATAGGTTTTTCAATATTTTCACAACATGCTACCAAACGGGTTTCGCGCGCGCTCATGTCGAAATCTGTCGAACGCCCTTGCGCGTGTGCAGACGCGCGCGTCGTCGCGCGCATATGCCGAAAACCTTCAAAACCCATAGGTTTCGGAAGGATTTCAAAATCGTGTGTCCAAAAAACCTACAAAAACACAAGGTTTCGCAACACGAATTTTCAACAAAAGCGTGCGCGCGCGCTCTTGCGTCGTCGTCGTCGTCGTCGTCGTCGCCGTCCTCCCTCCTCCCGCGTCGTTGTCGTCGTCGTCGTCGCCTACGTCGTCCTCTGTCTTTCCTCGTGTTCGTCGTCGTCGTCCTCTTTGGCGTCGTGGTCGTTTCCGTCGTCGTTGTCGCCGTGGTCGTCCTTCCTCCTCCTCCCTCGTCGTCGTCGTCGTCCGTCGTCGGCGTCTCGTCGTCGTCCCTTCTATTTCGTCGCCGTCGTCGTCGTCGTCGTCGTCGTTGTCGTCGTCGTCGTCTTCCCTCCTCCCTCGTCGTTGCTGTCGTCGGCGTCGCCGTCCTTCCTCCTTCTTCGTCGTTCGCGTCGTCGCCGTCCTCCCTCCTGCCTCGTCGTTATCGTCGTTGTCGCCGTCGTCGTTCTCCCTCCTCCCTCGTCGCCGTCTTCGTTGGCGACGTCGTCGTCGTCTTCGTCGTCGTCGTCGGCGTCGGCGTCGTCGTCGTCGTCGTCGACGTCGGCGTCGTCGTCGTCGCCGCCGTCGTCGTCGTCGTCGTCGTCGTCGGCGTCGTTGACGTCGTCGTCGTGGTCGTCGGTGTCGTCGTCGTCGTCGGCGTCGTCATCGTCGTCGTCGTTGTCATCGTCGTCGTCGTCGGCGTCGGCGTCGTCGTCGTCGTCGTCGTCGGTGTCGTCGTCGTCGTCGTCGTCGTCGTCGTCGTTGTCGGCGTTGTCGAAGTCGTTGGAGACGTCGTCGGTGTCGTCGTACTCGTTGTCGGCGTCGTCGTCGTCGTTGTCGCTGTCGTCGTCGGCGTCGCTGTCGTTGCCAAGAGCCATTTGGTACCCACCGTCACGGTCTTAAGAGATTTTGCAAGCCAAGTTGCGGGTGGGTGGGTGGGATGTTTGCGCGAGCAATGGAGTGGACAACTCATTGCGAACAGAAATTAATTGCACCACATAGGTTACACCACAAAGTTTGCACCACATGCATTGCATCGCACACATTGCGCAACAACGATTGCACAACCGATATCGATCAACAAATCCTGCACCGCATTTATTCACCACATATGGTGCGCACCAAATCGATTTCACCGCATACAGATAAATTGCATCGCGAATATTACACAACATGTGAAAATCGCACCAGAGGCATTGAATCACGTCGATTGCAGAACATATATTGTGCACCACATATTGCACCACATATGTTGCATCACACATATCGCGCAACATATTTTGCACCACGTGTATTGTACAACATGTATTGTACAACATGGAGTGCACCACGAATCTTGCACTACATGTAGTGTCCCACATATGCTGCTCAACCACGCGACTTGCACCGGTTAGATTGCACATCTTAGATTGCACATTCGCGTAACATAGTTCTATCCAGTTGCTTGCGGCACGTTCGGATGACTTTTCGAGGGGG